AAAAAACAAAAAACCGAAAAAAAAAACATATTCATAAAAAAGAATTTATTTAGTAGGTAAAGATACCTTTACAACACGTTTGAGTTAGCCGTGCCCTGAATAAACAATAGAGAGTTTTAGATTCGCTTTGTTTCCTCCCCGCAAACGGCAAACGTGACCACGTTTTCATAGTTTTCCTGTATTTTACTTTGCCTTTTACAAACTTTCTCACCAAGCGCAAATACTCWTTTGTTTTTCTACTACTTGGACTTTTTTGCGATTCTTTTTCAGTAATTTAAACGAATTTTTACTGGTCAACTGACGTTTCACGTTTGCCGTGAACGTAAATCTAAAACTCTCTAATAATAGGTCAAAAACTGGAGAAACGAAGTCTTTGTCGATTTTCAAGGCCCAGGGCACAATTCCCCTATCAGGACCGACTTTATTTTACTCCTGTTTTCGTAAATTGTTCTATACTTTATCCATCCTGTATACGTATCTCAGGTCAGTTTTTCGAAGTCTAACTTCTCATATTTTATATCAAACACGATGAAATGTCCGCTTACAGATTCATTAAAGATATGTACATCTTTATTATTTACTATACATTGGTATTTTCATTGTTCATCRCTATTTGACTGGTACAACATCCGGTGAAAGAATCAGTCTCTCGTCAGTTGCTGCTCTACTCGGACTCATTTGACCGAGCCGATCATTGTAGTCAGGACTGCCTGGTACCGACTGCGTCACAGACTCGCTATCAGGGTAGCTTCGTAACGATTTGCTGGAGCGTGACTCTTGTCTTAGTTCAGGCATGCGTATTGGAGGTAAGGGAGAATACCGCATGGTCGATGGGCTGTTGCGCAAGTGGGGCACCATGGGATCGAATGAGTGATCTGGGTCTGTGGATAAAAAGGAGAGAGAAAGCACATCACATATCTAGCAGCCTGTATAGTTAGCCACTTAGATCAGCCCAGAGGTTATTTCAGGGTTCAATCCGTGAGTTAGCCATGCCCTGACTTAGATCAGCCCAGAGGTTACTTCAGGGATCAATCTGTGAGTTAGCCGTGCCCTGACTTATATCAGCCCTAAGGGGTTACATCAGGGTTCAATACAGTTGATGTTATACTAGATTAGTACCCGTTGTTTTCTTTGCCTTCTTGACATGTTTGCTTCCTGAGGGTCGTTCAACTGTCACGTAACTTCTTATCAACGAAGTAGGAACATTTGTTTTATTTCCAACAAAACCCGTGCTGCAAGAAAGAGATCAAATAATATTAGCATGATATGATAAGACCAACACTAGTGTTAGTTAGCACTAGTGTATCAAACACTAATAATAATAATTCATGATTTATATAACGCTCTTTCTATGTATGTTTAACCAAAGGCGCTTACGATCATAAGAGATGGCTAGTATAAAGTGTAGGCACTGAGGATGATCACTTACTGGGTTACTTTTCGTATCGTATTCGGTGTTTCTTTTAGGTCCCTCCGATATTGGTTAACAATGATGAAGTTTAATGATGAAGTTTAATGATGAAGTTTAATGATGAAGTTTGTAGAGATGGGACCGCCATTTAAAGTTATCATCCGAGCCACTTGACAGTTAAATTATTTGCAGATGCAATTACAAAGGCAGCACCTTCTTCTCAGTTATTTTAAGACCCTGAGTGTTGGTCCGGCGTGGGCTTCAACCACGACCTTCCGCACAACAGACCAACGCTCAACCAAATGAGCCAACCGGTGGTTGCAAACCAAACCATTGAGTTATCGTTACTAACCTGACTTGTGTTTGTCCGACCATCATGCGATTTACATCAAGCTCCAGGATACGAGGTGCAGTAAGGCCAACATTAGACTGTGGGCTTCCTTGAACTTGGGATTTGGAAATCTGCGTTAAAAATTCCCCTCAAGTTAATGAGAAATAATAGCAATCGTGACATACCAAGGAGATTACGTGACAATTCCTTACCTGCCATGTTTGCCCCTGATATGTCTCGTCAGTGTCTTTGAATGGTTGCGTGACGTCCATGTCCATAACGCCATGTTCAAGTTCTGTCAATTGTGGGATGGATGACGTAGATTTGCTTCCATGGGAAAGTTCATGGTGAATGTTGGTCATGGATGACTTCATACCGTTGGTCAGCCATGGGGTTGGTGCTGGTGTTACTGTACTAAGTGGCTGGTTTATAGACACTGGTTTATTTTTACTCACCAAGTACCCTCCAAGTGGATCAAACCTGTAAAACAAGTTGCCATTCTTACGTCTTATTCGTATAGGATGTAAACGACTCAAAGCCGCCCAAAWAGCACCACTTTTAAGGTGCATGTGACGTCATGTTGGTTGGTTAATTGTTTTTCCTTTTTATCTAAAAGAAAGCGATAAACAAAACCAATTATACTATATATAGTAGAAAGAGTAATTACCTGGACTTGTATGACAACACAGGTTTTATCAGGAAGATTCCTGTATCGTTTTCTAGCCTTTCAAAAGTCTCCATCATCAGCTGAGCCAAGCGCTCTCGTCTCTCGGCCAAATCATCCATTTTCTCTCCCCATCTCCTTGCTCGTTCATTTTGCAGAATTTCCATTTTTTCTAAAGTATGGAGGACTTCTTCATCTAATTTTTCACTGTTGTTCTTCAGCTTTTCCTCTGAAAATAAGCAAATAAGAGTATGATTCTCCTGGGGTACTTATGTGAAAACAGCTAGTTTTGATATACCACGCTAAAATGTAAGGCTGTGTCCTTGTATTAGGCACAATGTGTCAGTGAACTAGAAGTGTGAACACAGCTAGCTTTGMTGTAGCATCCCCAAATGTAGGGACGTGTATTGTGTCCTTGTATTAGGCACAATGTGTCAGTGCAGTAGAAGTGTGAACACAGCTAGCTTTGATGTACCCATGCCCAAATGTAGGGACTTGTATTGTCTCCTTGTATTAGGCACAATGTGTCAGTGCACTAGAAGTGTGAACACAGCTTGCATTGGTGTACCCATGTCCAAGTGTAGGGACGTGTATTGTGCCCTTGTATTAGGCACAATGTGTCAGTGCAGTAGAAGTGTGAACACAGCTAGCTTTGATGTACCCATGCCCAAATGTAGGGACTTGTATTRTGTCCTTGTATTTAGGCACCACGTGCTCGGGCACTATGTTTGAACACCCTCTTAGTGTATAGTACATACCTATTTTCTGCATGGCATGATGGTGCGTATACCGCTCTACAATAGCAGCCAATCGTTTTGCAGGTAAGCTGACGTAATCAGACATGTGATCAAATGCTTGTGTTACGTCATTGTTAGTGGTGCGGTTTTCATTGATCGCTCGTTTTAGAATCTTTGCGTTTCTTTCTGCGTCAAGGCGTGAAAACATTATAGAAGAGCTTGCCCTCTGGTGTCAAGAATGAAAATACAACTGTATCAGGACGACATCCTACCCCTGGTGATACTTGCTTCCCCACTACCTACCCCTGGTGATACTTGCTTCCCCACTACCTACCCCTGGTGATACTTGCTTCCGCACTACCTACCCCTGGCGATACTGACTTCCCCCACTACCTACCCCTGGTGATACTTGCTTCCTCACTACATACCCCTGGTGATATTGACTTCCCCCACTACCTAACCCTGGTGATACTTGCTTCCCCACTACATACCCCTGGTGATACTTGCTTCCCCACTACCTACCCCTGGTGATACTGACTTCCCCCACTACCTACCCCTGGCGATACTTGCTTCCCCACTACATACCCCTGGCGATACTGACTTCCCCCACTACCTACCCCTGG